TTGACTCCTAACCATAATCCTAACCCCCTAAACCTTAACCTCTAACCCTGACCCTAACTCCTGACACTAACCCCTACCAGGTGCGGCTACGAAATAAGATCTTACCCAATTTCCTGGCCCGCCTTCTGTGCTCGGTGGACGACTGCGAAGCCATCAGCTGATGGCGGTCCAAAAATATGCATTATTTACGAATTAGACGTATAGATACCGAAATTCCGGCGTTCTTTCATGAGAGTCGCCGTAGTGTGTCTCGAACACTAAGAATGATTCGAACACAGCTCCGCTTAGAATGGTGTATCGGGTTTGGAGCTGATTCACTGCTTAACGAGCACTTCAGCGTACAACCGGCGCCGACTGCTCCCTCTCTCTTCCTCCCATTTGCACCGAGAGTCGAGGCGAGATTGCCTGTCGTCAGCGCGGCCGCTTACCCATGGTGTCTTCGGCAGGCCTGTCAGCCGTTGCGAGTGCGTGCGAGTGACTTCGTCTTCGGCTTTCCGACGCTGATCGACGCCTTCGTCTTCATCGATTGGTTGCAGCAATACAAAGCTCAGGCGCAGATACGCACACCTCGCGCCCAAGCAAACAGCTTAAACGGCTGGAACACGACTGGTGAGAAAACTAGCTGCCTCTGAGTGTCCGCTTGTCAAAAAACTGTCTTCCACGACTTTTTAATTGGTAAATTTCGAGTTGTCAACCATCGTAGCTTAACAAGTGTTCTCCTTCTTCCCAGCCTCCCTTATAACTGACCCGTTAACAGTGATCAACTTTCTACCCTCTTCCGGCATTTTTTTCGGCCACCCAACCGACCCAGATGGTCAAACTGCTGATTGGGATGTACGGCCTAGCCAAAGGTCTCCAGTGCCCAATTTCGAGATCCCCAGTCCCCCTTAAAACTTCTCTATCGGACCTGAGATCACGGCTGACGAATGTTGCATAAGATTTGGCTTCTCGTAAGTAGCAGGCAGCCTCCATGTCATCTACAAACGCATCGACGCGACCCATCCGTCAGGTCCAGTATATTGCTTCATCGCAGCCCCGGCACTTGTTGGTATCATATTACATTTGGTGCCAAAACCCCTCGCCGGAACTCTCCTATCTTTCATCTCGAAGCAGAGCCAACGAGCGAGGCAGGTCAGCCCAAGATCAGTGCAGCCAAGGTGCCTACCTCCTTTGGTTCTGATTGCACCTTCTACGTCTGTGACAGCCTGACTCTCAGACGCTTCCTCGTTGACACCTGAGCGCAGATCAGCGTGATCCCTCCAACTGCAGCCGACCGCCGTTGCCCCAACGCTGATCTCCATATCCCTCCTCCGCCCACGTTTGGCAGCCTTTCCCTCACACCGAACATCGGCCTTGGTCCTTATCAACACAGGTTTGTAGCGATTAAAAGCAACCCTTTCTCACTTTTTGCCGGATCCGTATATCATCTGGGCAGGTACGTAGGGTGGGTTAATCGCTTCATAAGATGCTCGACGCAAGGAGGCCTAGTGTCCAAGCCATCAGCTAGGACAAGTTGAAGGTACGGTTATCGAGACGTCGGTTGGTATCTCCACTTACCATTAATCGCTAACGCATATTGGGCTTTGGCGTCACAACGAACCGAAGCCCTTGCCTGTTTCACATCTTCCCGGAGTCTCGCTCCATTGTTTTGCATGGCTGGTTGAAGCTGGGCAGGTTCGAGGGTGATAATTCATGCACCAGCCCATCTAAAATGACTGTTATTCAATCTTTGTGCGCTAGGACAATTACAATTTCGACATCCCCACTCGCCCCTTCAGCGGCTTCCAATTTGCCTGTCAACTGGTCCGGCGTAAATCGTGGATGACGCAAGGAGCCGCATGACGAAAATGTCTGTCTAATTTTTCTACGAGCGTCTCTCGCAGAACAGTAACAAAGGTAGCTTAGTTCATGTCTACTGTGGAGTAATATATGCAGTGTTGATGCATTCTCGTCTGGCCAACTGTCAGCTGCTTATATGAACAAGTGTGCACTGTCAACACTTTGAATCCCACGCCCCATGCGCACGTTGGAGCATTCCTCTTGCCACTAAATCGTGTTATTTTGGATTCATGCCTTTTGGCTAGGCTAGTGGTATATGTCCGTCCCAGAATTCTTAGTATGTTGGGCTCCTTAGAGGAAGAATATTCCATTCCCCTTTGTAATCACTTGCAATCGAGTACAGCATCTACCTACATCCACACCCGCAACGAGCTACATCGCAGATGCGCTCGGCCACAAGAGGGGGTTCAGAATGGCTCACGGAACGTGTTTATCGGGCTGCGACAGGTCCCCTCAAGTCCATAACTACTACCGTATGTGCCTCTCACCCCAGTCGACCGCCGCTGCGCACCACTATTATCGGACCCGTACACCAACTAGGTGGGTAGGTAGGGTAAGTTAATTGCTTCATAAGATGCCCGACCTGACAGGGGTCTACAAGTCTCGTCTGCGCATAACTTCCCGCCGCAATTCGCAAATGAGGAGGTAAGAAATGATGCCACGCCTTAGCATGCCCTTGAGGTTCTCGCCCTCGGAGCTGGCAAGGAGACTTCATGTCCAAGCCATCATTCTAGTACAAGTTGAAGGCACGGCTGTCGTGGTGTCGGTTGGTGCTTCCACTTACCATTAACTGCCGACGCATATTTGGCCCTGGCATCACAGTGAACTCAAACCTTCGACTGCTTCATATCGCCCCGGAGTCTCAATCAACTGTTTTGTGCGGCTCGTTGACGTTGGGCAGGTTCGAGGGTGGTAATTCATGCACCAGTCTATCTAAAACGACTGTTATTCAATCCCAATGCGCTGGGAAAATTAGAATTTCGACATCCCCATTTACCGCTTCAGCGACTTCCAGTTCGCCTGCCAAGTGGTTCGGCGTAAGTCATGGATGACGCCAACAGACAGAAGAGCCGAATGACGACATCTCCACAACTTTTCCAGGGCCGTTCGATACTCCTGCCATTTTATCGAGAAAAGCGAGCGCTGAGCAATCAGGCGACGGTCAAGGAAGGAGCAACCATAAGTCTGCAGGGTCTCCGAGACGGTTCCTCGACTCTTACAATCCTCCACGATAGGCACAACCCACCGACCTCAGGTAACATTCCGTCACCGTTTGATGCAGCTCGCCCAGACCTCGGCAGCTGTCTACAAAAAAATCTGCAGTGATTGAGACTAAAACTGCGTCGGGGAATCCGGGTGGAAACTGCATATTCGTCCACAAGGGCACAAATCCGCGACTCGGAGGCTAGGCCCAAACCTGCAAGGCACATTTGAGAAATTTGTCATGCTTTCGATCCACAGGGATCAACAATTTTGGGCCGGAACAAATCAAAGACAGGACGACTAACACTTGAGGCGTGGTATTCAGTTGCCGACTGTATCAACAGACATCCTAACCTTACAGCAGGTTGTCAGTTCCTGCGCTATTATGTTGACGAAGCCCAGGGAAAGACGGCTACACAGGACTTCAGAAAGGCCTAACGACCTACCCAACCGACAGGGACGAAAAGGAGCTACCTGAACATCCAACTCCCCCAGAGGCTGGGCCAAACCCTATCGAGGTGGTGAATCATAACGCACGCGCCTGTCAAGCCGGCCAGACATCCTCCAAAAGGCCGAGGCAGCGAGGCCGACCAGCGCGGCCTTCCACTTCACATTTGCGGTTGACTAAGTGCATTTGACGCTTTGACAATGGTGAGCCGACTAAGCTCTCCGAAACGTCGGCATTGCAGTAAACCTGTTCAGGTGAACCCATCTTATTCCCCAGATTATCAGCCCTGATCTCCTCACTTTGCCAATCTGAACACTGTTGGACTTCTGCGAGGCCCGTGTTCTTGTTGCTGCTGTGAGGCTTCCCTCCAGTGAAGAAAGGCCACGCACCTCTGCGTAGAGCGAGGAACAAATGTGGCGAGGGACTGGTCCTTGGGGGTGAGAAGTCCTTGTTGATGAAGCATGGACTAACATCGCGAAGAAAGCCGTTCGGAGCAGAGGACCCACGATTAGGACGGCGAAGACGCCGGTTGAGTTGGCAGCGTTTACGGCTCGCTCCATAGAATTCGACACTTGCAGTCTGCGCTAGTCGGACTAGCCAAGCTCTCTCGGCGGATAACTGGCGTTTTTCACTAATCCACCTGCCGAGTAGACCGTTTATGAGTCGGAGAATCCTTTCAGCTGCTTCTTGGGTCAAGGACTCGGAAGACAGCCCCTGATGATGACCCACCTTCAATTCGGCTACAATTCCATGTTCAAGGTCTCAAGTGCTAATTTTGAAAATCCAAGGTATTCGGTACAAAGTCCTTTAGATAAAAAGAGGCGGACTTTCAGGCGTAGTCTGATGGTACTGTATCTAGGACAGGAGTTACGCCAGACACTGTAACGGCTGAACAGTAGTTAACCCCTCAAGTCCTTATTTCCTGCCATTCGACAGGCAGTAGACTGGGGCGAAAATAGGCTAAACCCCTGCCCAGACTACACAGTGAACATCCACCGTTGGTTAGATTGTGCTAAATGCGAAGCCTGGTCAAGACCAATAAGAGTCCACCATATTTGCTGTTCTCTGTTTACTTCTAGTGGGTAGCAGCTTGAACAAACACGCACAGGCGAGACGGCTACGGCAGAAAACAGACTACTACTTACAAGTCGAAAGCATGTGAACGGGTTGAAGGCAGGCTTGTTAGTGAAGACGAAAACAGTGTCCAAGGGCGGTGAGACCACGAGGAATATCTCCAACTGCTGGCTAGGAAAACCCCCCAAAGGAGTTGCAATGCGTTCGTTTATCAGGTACCGGTCAGGGAGTCCAGCCAGCGGAAGTAAATGTAACTCTTTAAAGTAACGCGGCTGTTGACGACGGACAGACGTAATTATCTGCGCAACTATAACAAAGAAGAACGATTGATTCCGAAGATGGGATTTTATTACAATATGAACGTAGAAAGAGTGAATAAAGACAAATGGGAACAGTTCATAGATGATATACAATCGTGTCAGCACTCGGTGCAAAGCTAGAGACCCCGGTCAAGCTTATGTATTTTGACCAGTTCCACATCAAAAATGAGATCCGCATCTGCGGGTATTTTGGGTGGAGAACCAGCAGATCCGTAACCCAGGCTCGACGGGATGAGTAATCGTCTCTTCTCACCTTCACACATACTGAAAATATGGGAATAGGAGAAAGAAGAGCGATAAGTATTAACGGGCAATATGTGTACCTTTTTCAAACTGGATACTGCCGGTAGGATTTATTATACATCGAAGAATATATATATGAAAGTAGGATGGAGTCGTTCACAAATATATCAAGAAGCCCTAAGGATTTTCTTCCCTAAACTGGGAGATACATCGCAAAGATGCAAAAAGAACCAAACTTAGAGAAAAAAATTGTGACTAATGAATAAATGAAGTCGTCTTTATGTTGGACACTAGTAAAATGGTATGTAAAGATTATGTCTAGCGACAAATAGTCGGCAGTTTGTGCGTATTCGGGTGGTGAAACGGTCGGTTGGTGGGGTTTAATAACGTCTGTAGGTGGTGACACGGATAGTCAAACATCGCACAGTGCGGCGAAAAACGATCGAAAAATTAGTGGTATGAACTGGTTTACAAGGTGGGAACATATGAACTCGATCACAAAGCAACTTGATGGACTTTAAATGACAAGACGGAATTTGGTCACGATGTCTCTGGGCGACGAACGGTATTACGTTGATTCAAAAAAACTGACGGTGGTAAAACGAGTTAAGGGAAAAAAAGAACACGACAAAACTCTTGATATCAACAGAGAGGATTTTAAGAAACGGGCTAAAACAGACCCAGGCCAAACTGAGGCAGGACTTGCGGCTCAAATGGCAATACCCTTCACGACCGTTTTCTAGCACCTTACAACCCTCGGAGGGCAGGGATGCTCGACAAATGTAGGTCGTAAAAACTAACTTAAAATCGAAACTTCTGTCTCGAAACTTGTCCAACACTGCTAATTCGAAAACGACCTACTTCTGAACCGTACGACGAAAAGTGGATGGCTTACGACGGTCATGATCATCACAATTTTTCAGATAAACTAGGGTGGAAACAACAAAACCGTCAATTGGCGGTCCTCTGTCCGGAATGTACAGCAAAAATCCCCGAGAGTTAATGAATCAAGTACGAAAGAAGGCTGCTGTTCCACAATTTATAACAGTATCAAAATTTGTCGGTACAACGACGATCCTCTGCATGACAGTCCTGAACCATTTGGACTGTAGCGCATTGTCATATGTACCGTGCTCACGTAGAAACTTTCAGATTTAATGCACCTGGACCATACTGTTTGAAGGGAGGCTTTTCTAAACGACATTTAAGAGTTCTTCTTGTACGAAAAACCAAATTTTCCCAAAGTGTCTTGGGCAACAATCCGCCCACTGATACAAATGCGTTTGTGGCAGTCGTGCCATCGCCCCGTTTTCCGGAGTGGCTTATCATTTTTGACCCACACTCCGCTCCTGTGACACTCATGCTGGTGGGTACATGTCCGACCCGCGTGACTGAGGCTCTCCCGAACAAACGGTTTCCTCTGACACAAACGAACAGCCAACTCATGGCAACCTGACTTACGAAAAGAATAAACCTGTTTTCACAGCTCCCTAAAAGCTTGCATTAGACGGAACGAAATCACTGTGTGTGGTTGCAGTTGATTTTGCATCCTTGACCCCAACACATTGACGCTTATCATGCAGATCTCAATCAGTAGTTTTGCTTCAACATAGTCGAGCTGACCCATAGTAAACCGTCGAATTCAGTCAACAATAGATTACGTACTAACAAAGTGAAGTGCTAATTGCGAACGGTCCCGATAACATTGCACTGGCCTTTGTCTTGTCCTGATCTAGCAGCTCAGGTTTGAGGGGGTGTGCAGCTAGTGATCTGGTCTCTGACGCCGATCAGTCGAAGGGACTGCTGGGCGGAGTGCGCCTGCAAGAACTATTTATATGGGTCAGTTGCTCATAAAACTGGCCCTAGAGTAGTTGCACGACCCAAGCAAAAGCCTATCCGATGTTATTATGGAATTGTAAAGTGAAAAAGGTTAAAGAGACATGTGAGTGCTGTAAAGACCTGACTTACCCTATCAGGCCCTTTTCCCAGCCTTGTATGACCTGCCCGGCACCAACCCTGACTTTAAAGGGTTCTTTTCCCAGGTTGGAGTCGAATTCTGTGTTGTCCTTGAACAGCATGCCTTTATAGTTTACCTCAACCTCGTCAAACTTTTCGACAACATTAGGGCAGTTCTCGCGAGGGATCCTCTTTTTAATGCCGATTTGCAAAGAAGACAACTTTGCAGTTCGCTCCTCGCACACCACAAGACCGATGAAAGTAAGCAAAGACACGACCACAGACGACGGACACCACATTTCGCAAAGTAACCGCACCTCACCATTTCCGTAATTTATGCGCCGTGAAGTGCGTGCGGCTATCGGATTGGCGGAAGCCGACCTCTCCGATCATTACACGGCTCTGACCTCGCATTCAAGGTTAAAGTTAGATTGAGTTCAACATACATATTAAATACGTTGTTCATCAGTCTGACACAAAGATGCAGATTTTTTTATGCCAGAATAGGAAAAGAAATAAAATAAAAATTGAGTTCTTCATTTCTTAATGAAAACCAAGAAGGAGGTCGGGAAAGGGCGCTTGTCGGAGAATAGGCCGCAGACGTCGGAAACGGTACTATATAACTGGAAGAAAGTAATGAGGACAAAAAAAGAAAACCTTAAGATGCCCTTTCGCACTGTGAGTGATTAAATATTACAATGAAGTACAATGGTACAATGCGTATGGAATGAAGTTGGGCAAAGTATTTCAGAGCTACAGTGGAGGCGTCGTCCATAGGTGCCTATTAGGCACGCCAACTGGGTCGAAAGCCAACACCTCGTCTCGGATTCAATTTCACAGTCAAACTGTGTGCTTGTTGAGGGAGAAGTTCCATTGGTTCTGAGCGTGCGTTCAGGCTTGGCCTTGCGCGGGTGATCACGCACTTTACTCACGTATGCACTCTCGAAGAAATATTCAGGTAAAAGCGGATAATCATTTCGCAGATAGGCGGGTTGTTTTCATTCGCGTATAGGCTCGATCACTTTATCTGGATAGGGCGTATTATTAAATGGCGGATAATTTTTTCGTCCGAGGTTCACGTGGTCAACGGGCCCGCCACCTTTCTTCTTTCTAAGCATCTGTGCTGGCACACAGAACCTCAAATATTGTTTAACGAATGCACCCAACTTTGAGGAAAAAATTCGGCGAAAGACAGCAAATGTACGCTACTTCAGTACGTAGTGCCCGCTGCTCCCTGGACCAATTTCTTTTTCTTTTTGGAGGACTGGCGTGGACGAGGACATCTGTCGATACCCCAACCGTTGGATCCGAGGTATGGCAGGGATTGGGGGACTTTATGTTAGCGTTATCGGCTGCGATTCCAACGGGTGTTCCCGTCCTCTGAAAGCAAACGGAGAGAACGAGTCTGCTCACACAACAGCTCTTGCAGATTGACCTTGGAAAATAACGTACCCACGATATTTTTGCTGCATAAACTTGTAATACTATTAACAGTTGTATTTAAAATGAGAAGGACCCTTCAAGATGTACCATGGTCCTGTCTGACACCCTCTCGCCCGTCTTTAGGACGGTATCACATACTAGATGCAAGTTTTAATGAGCATGATCTGCCTCACTGAGTGTCTCATATCATTCTGATATCCTCTCACGTGTCAAGTCTGGTAGGGTATAGATAACTCGGGTCAGTTCAGTCTTTCCTGTGGTCTTAGACATCGAATGGACCGAATAAGACCGGCTGTTATGCAGTAAGCTTTTCTCCATACCCGTTTGTCCAGTACCAAGTTGGAAATTCACACTATTGAGTTCTTACCAGATGTGACAAACGAAGGAAGATTTCTCCCGATGGTGTGGCCTAATTGTCCGCAACGAGGACGATGAAGCAAATTTACAGGCAAACTTAGACCGACTTGAACAATGGTCAGGCCACTGGCTCCTTCCATTTAATGTTACCAAATGCAACATTCTGAGGATTGGCAGAACCAGCTCCGCGCCCCGGCAGACGTACTATCAAAATCACACACCGCTGCCAGTGGTAGAGGTTCAGAAAGACCTAGGGGTGTGGATAACATCTTCACTAAAGCCATCATTCCACTGCTTGAAAATAGCGAAATCCGCAATGTCCAGCTTATATCTCACTAAGCGGGCATTTGCCAAGTTCGACGAAGAGTGCTTTTGCAAGGTCTTCGGGATATTTGTGCGCCCACAGTTAGAATTTGCCATTCAGGCCTGGAGACTATGGACAGTTAAAGATCGTACCACCCTCGAAAAAGTCCAACGACGGGCAACCAAGCTTGTCAGAGGTCATAAATACCTACCTTACGAAACCAGACTTTCAAATCTTCACCTCTTTCCCCTGGACTACAGACAACTCCGTGGCGACTTAATTCAAACGTTTAGAATGTTACGGGGTCAGGACTGCTGTCTCGCATCCAGCGACTTCTTTGAGCTGGCCACCACTACTAGCTTGAGAGGACACCCTCTGAAATTACGTGTGACAGGAGCGAGACTGGGCGCAAGGAGGTCCTTCTTCAGCCACAGAGTGGTAAAGGCATGGAACGCCCTGCCTGTGGACGTCGTCATGTCCTCATCCGTGGACTCATTTAAGAGAAAGCTTGACCAGTACAGGGATATGTACCTCCACAGCATCGGAAACTAACAAATTTCCCCCCTGTACCAACCGCCCCACCCAACGCTTTTATGTTACAAAGCATGCTACACCCTATATTTCAGTAACATTACGTTTTACAATGTTTGCTATCTCCTGACCGCCACATATGCGCTTTCTTCGATATTATTTGGTCCATTCAGTACCGTACTGGATATTGTAAAATTTTGACATAGAAGGCATTCACAGACAAATTCATACCAGTGACCAATGCTTGACGTATGTAATTACTTACCTAATTTTTTCAAACTTGCCTTACACATTGTTTTTATGACGTTATTGTAACCAAAAGGGAGTTCAAGGGCGCTCGCCTATCTTCCCCTTAATAAATCTGATGATCTGATGATGATCTGATATAAAAACTTTGCCTCCGAACTACGGAAGCAGTTGTAAGCATTTCTTCAGCATTATTAAACTGGCAGCAAATGAATTCATCCATCAAGGGCCGATTCTGATCGTAAACGAAACCGGGACATGATGTAATGCAGAAGTATAATTTGAAGTCGTTTTTGGTCAGTTACGGAAACCGGCCTTTTTGCGCATTTACTCTGACGACCCATCGCTCAATATACTGAAATTCTCAATCAAAGTCTTCATGGCCATAAAGGTGATCACATTATTTATCATGAACCTTAAAATTGATTACAGACATAAATTAACGTCTTGAAACCTACGCTGGAAGGTCATTTCCAAGGACGGAAAACAACAAAGGTCACAACACTAGTCCTAATTAGGCATTACTTTGTATCGGTTGCCCATGTGTCGTAGATTCCGGAGGCTGCGAAGTGTATATCCTGTTTTTGGGAATTGGATGCCCGCGCCTTTCGAAATAGGTTGAAAATTTTTGCCATCTGAGGGGTTGATGTTCTTCGAGATTTCTGTCTAATGGACGCTCTGAGTGCCCATTAGGATTGGGAAGAATATTCATCTAGGCAATACCTCGGTTTTCACAGGACTACAACAGAGCTTCCGACCACTTCTCAATCAACGCCACTGCGAGATTCCCAAAACTAAAGGACAGTTTAGCCGTTCCGTATTTACTTCATACCATTAAGCTGGTAAAACAACTCTTCGCGTACCTCTAAAAATTATTTCATCTTTATTTACTTAAGGACGGTCGGCGAACGAATGCCCTCGGTACATTGTGCTAAACGTCCGTCTCGAGTCAGAGTGGATTCTTCGCACCAGAATTACGTGGTAGTTATCATTACCACTGGACCAGTGACGCGCAACAGACGGACTTAAAGCTCATCTAAACAACATTACGAACTGTATGAATGACTATACTGTCGGGTTTGCAGCCATCAAACCACTTCTAGCCAAACAGGCAAACAGGTTAATAAGTGATTAATGTCAAATACATATACGAAACCTGTGCGGCATGTCTCAAAGTTCTTCTGAAATTTTTGCAGACACAGAAGGAAATAAGAGACTTAAAATTGAAAATGGAAAAATTGATGAAACTTCCACCCATTCACTCGAAAAGAGAAATTCAGCGATGTAGGAGCTTTAGAAAATAATTGGAATATGTGCGCGTATGCCTTCAGAAGTTCATCCGCACCTGAGAAAGAAGACAGCTCGACTACGTAGCTAGTCATTATCGAAGACCGGTCTCTTATGCGGGAAAAGGATGACCGAAAGAGATCCCAGAAAACGAAGAAACGTCCCAGAACATCTCGAAAACACAAAGTAGGCCAGAGCGTCAGTATGAGAGACCGGAATCTACACACAATGCAAGTGCCGCATTGCTGAAGGAGGTATCATATGACCACGGAGCTTCAGTAGGCAAGGAGCACCTCAATATCTATGTCATAACAGGTGTCTCTGAAACAAAGGATAATGACGACAGGAATTGGCGCAACGAAGTCTCCGTGTGCAAAAATCAACAGCAGGGTTCTCTACTTTGTCGTACTGAATGCATCGACATAAGGGGTATGCCTGAGTCTGCTTCGAACACGATAGGGAATTATTCCAACAATACCTCGAATTCTCTTTTCAAGAGGACGAGAACATCGCCGTCTTGAAGGGATTCAGAATAGGCATATAAACGACTCGAAGGATGAATCGAGATAACCAAGGCCGTTAGAGTTTTCTAAAAGGATTAAGAGAGGCTGCTATTGCCGCTCCAGGACACGAAACCAGCACTCCGAAGCTCCCATCCAACGATTCTGTTAGCCGGATTTCTCACCGGTCTAGCGAGAGAAACAGAGAGAACTTAAAGCCGAATTCCTCAAAAGATCCACTTCCGGTGAGAAAAATCTAAGAATACTGAATGGCAAAGCCGTAAATATTCGGAGCCAATAACTCTGACTGGCTGATCGGAGTCAGCTTACATTGGCAGGGCGAAACCGATGCCAGTGCCAGTTGTTAATGGAGTACTACAGGGCTTCGAGTTCGATCCACTACTGTTTTCAGTTTATGTCGATAACTATATGGATGGACTGTACTGCAAATGAGTCATGTCTGCAGACGATATCAAAAAATAGCCATCGACCAACTGTGAAAATGGTAAACAGGCCTTACAATGAGGACTAAACCGCCTATCTGGACTGACCGACAAATGACTGCAAAAGTTTGATTTTGAGAACAGGGTCACACTGAGACTCAAAACGAAAGAGAGGAAAAAATGAGGTAGTTATCAATATCTCCTTGATGAAAGTGCCTTTTAAATATAATTGGACAAAAAAACTTGGGATCAACATGATGTCACCTCTTAAACCCGCCTGCCAATGCGCTAGGTGGCCAAAAGAGCAACTGATGTTCTCTTCGCCATCAGAATTCTCATAGATAATAAGAAGCTATTTGGAAAGGCATACGGAGCTTTGCTTGCTTACAACTGGAATATGAAATCTAGTCGTGGCGCCCTGGATGAAAAAGATCATAATTTGCCGGAGAGAGTTCAAAGGTGGTAGACTAAAATCTCGAAAGGACTCAAGTCTTTAACTTACAGGTGAGAGCTTCATGAGCTTAACCTATTTCTTCTCGAGTGCATAGCGATCCGAGGAGGTCTCATGCAGATTCAGCGGGCGGTAAGGAATAAGGAATATGCCCTGCCCCTTGACGATTTCTATGTTCACAACAACAAACATGTGAAGGCACCCTTCAACTTCAGAGGGCCCGATCCAGCCTGGATGCTCGTATGTGCCAGTTTTTGCAGCGAGTTGTCGATGCCTGAATGTGATATTCATGAGCTCTACGGAGAAGTTTGAACAAGATTAGACGCATGTTTGTTTGATGGATATCGCTTGACTCGGCGGGACATCTATGTTATATCAGACTATTGCTATGTGTGCACCTACCACTCATGCGGATAATTATTATTCACACTTAACATTGTCCTCCACAACTGAGGGTGCCCAACATAGTACTTCCTTGAACGTATAGTGACATGCTTATTCGAAGTTGAGTGTCGTGTACATCGTTATCAGTGTGGTTTTCCGAACGCATTGCCTATTACCCTTAAGTATAATATAACTTACTGAACCATTCTGCTCCATATGACTTCTTCTCTGTGGACCATGTTCACAATTTCTCTCAATATCTCGTCGGCAATTGGTTGTATTCAAGGCCCAACCGATGACTTCAAAGGAGGCCTTAACATTTCCCGATTGTCCTGAAACGTTCTGAGTTAAAAACCACGTAATTATCTATTCTGAATTTCGTGTTCTTTTCCTGAATGGAGGGCAGGAAGTCAGGGTTTGAGCAATGCCAATCAGGGCATATGTCGCAGAGGCACAAGGATGAATGTTTTCTCACGCTAATCGGCCTTGAAAGTATGATCGAATTGACCACACGCGCTGGCAACGTGCTTTATTCAGTCAAGGTAGGGTGTCATTGACACATTATGGCGATCAAGGTTTTAAGTCTGGTCTACGCATGCATTCGAGTGCACCCGGGGCTGAATAAGACCGCCTTGCGGCTGTAATATCCGTTCGAACCGTGTTTCAAAGCTCATGGAGACCGGGTGAAACTTTTAGTCCACTATTTCAAAGAGGTGGAGACAAACACCAAGTTGGTACAGACCGGCGGACCCTAGCCAGGATTCAAGACAAAGTACTCACCTATGTACTAGGATAGCACGATATACCATACTTGACAACAAAGGCACTAGCTCAACGCGTCTTGCCACTGCACGGCACAGTTGCGAAGGGTCTGGCATCATAAAACACCCTCTCTCGCCAAAATCTTTGAAAAAATTATCGCCGTAAAAATTACCGACTCTTGCATAGCCAATCAAGTTATTAGCCCTTCCCAGCATGGTTTTTTACCAGATCGCTCTTGTGAAACATGTCATGTGTCGTTTCTAAATCTACTTACCTCTCTTTCTAACGACCATGATAAAGTGCCACATAAAAGACTCTTGGTTAAATTGGAAGCTATGGGAATTCGCAGTCCATTAATAGACTTTCTCAGATCATACCTGTCTAATCGTAAACAAAAGATTTTGGTGGGATCTTCACTTTCCAGTGAAAGTCCTATTGTAAGTGGTGTCCTACAAGGCACCGTTTTAGGTCCTCTTTTGTTCTTGCTTTACATAAATGATATTTCGGCAGCAGTTAAACATTCTCAATCATTTATTAATGCCGATGATCACAAATGTGTATATTCTTTCAAAAAATCTGCGAGCCTTCATTACCTGGAGCAAATCCATGCTGACTTGCTTGCTCTCTCATCTTGGAGCTCAAAATGACTAATGGAACTCTCTCCGTCTAAATGTCGCTATAGGTGTTTTGGACCTGATAGGCTACCCCAACCAGTGGTCTTTCAAGGCACACCTATGACTGAATGTACCACTATCAAGGACTTAGGTTCAAGCTGCACTAGTAATCTTGATCTCTCGCCACACGGTGGCAGAATTACAGTCAAAGCTGCCCAGATATGTGGCTTTATTTCTTACAATTTCTATCTTCCTGAAATTAAATTAAGGCTCGATCGTATGTTTGTACTTCCCATTCTCGAGTATTGTTGCCCATTCTTTGGTTTGATGAATGAAGCTAGTCGTTTAAAAATTGAAAATGTCCAAAGACGTTTTCCTAAAAAACTTTTAGATAAGAAACATCCCAATATCTCCTACTCAGATAGATGCCAGCTAATTAAACTAAAATTATTGTGGGTTCGAAGACCAGAAGCGGGCTTCTGTCTCCTCTTTCGCATTAATCATAGTTCAACTTTTCCTCGGGTTTAAGCACTCACCCCTAGTAGTCGCCCATACGATCTCCGCAACTCGTCCTTGATTATACCTCCTCAAGATATACTTTCCTCTGGAATAACCTTCCAATAAATATAAGATCTTCAGAAAATCTACACACCTTTAAGAGAAGGCTACGCCTTCATCCGAATACTGACTCGATTAAAATTTTATTTTCCTCATCCTTCCCAAACAACTTTTCCCATGACACTGAGAAAGGGCCACCGGGGATTTAGTATGCCGCCATTAAATGTCCGTATCTGTTCACATTTCCTTTCTTTGTGAGTAGTCTCGCTTCCTAAGATCCCTCACCAGAAATGTTAATTTGTCCAATTTCTCAGTTCATGCATCGTGCCCTCACAGAATGCGCTCCATCGACGCTCTTGGCGAAACCTTCTGTATTCGCCATATACTAGTCTGGCCGCATCTCCCTTGTCCCATCCTCGGATGGACTCAGATGAATGTAACCCACCGCATCTGGGTTCCTATCGTCTCGAGACTGGTTTTCAATTTCGCCGCTTATTTGCCTTATTCAAGGCCACATACAGGCCAGTCCTGACCGACCCGCCTACTTACCCCTTCATGAAATCGGTTATACAATGCCATACACGGCTAACATTTATTTCGGTCCTGACGATGTCCGACTATAATCCATTCTATACCGCCACATGCAGGCCAGTCCTGCCCGCATTTTTCTGTTTCCATTTTTTCGAGGGTTTTTTTCTCCTGTAAAATTAATTTAATTATTTTTAAATTTTGATGTGGAGATTTTTTCACCCCTCGCTTATCATTTTTCTTAACGACTTCTAATTCAAATACTATGTATTTCACTTTGTACAGATTTTGCCTACCTCGTCTAAAATTCGCATGTAAATTTATCTTTACTTGCTTTTATGGGACCCCGACGGGTCTTTAATAAAAATTATTATTACTATTATTATCCCCTGTGTGCTTCCAGGCAGATAATCCAGTTCTAAGTTTCGTTAACTGCCTGTGCCATAAAGGCGTACACCGACATGCGCATGTTGAGGACGGTGCGTTATTGACTAAGCCTGGGTGTTGCGACTCGTTAAATTCATCCAAGAAACAACTGCCTTACACCGAGAACCAATCATCCTAAAAGAAGGACTAATGTTTGTTGTTCGTATGAAGGGCAAATTCTGAACGTCCAACCGCCCGGTACAGGATTAGGTCGGAGAAGGCAAGATCAGAATTCTAACCGACAGAATTTTTTACGAAATTGCGCAAGGAGAAAAAATGAAAAAAAATATATAGACTTCACGAGTATATGCTGTTCTCCACCCACTCACTAGTGGCAGAAAATGCGCCGTTTAACTATTTACCAAAAACGCGAGGAGGGCCTGCGGTCGGTGACAGACAGTACGGAATTTGCGAGAAAATAAACCACCCTGAAATTACATAAAGGTCGAAATATTTTTATTCAAATTATTTACAGGGGCTTTCATCCGCCGGTATAGCGAGGTAGTCACTCGTTCAGAAGGACATACGTTAATCATGCATTTGCAGAATTGTGGCAATAGCATCCTGTGAAACACCATCACCACCATGGTCGACCTTGAAGAGAACAGAAATTGCGAAAAGGCAACGTTACGGAGTCACTTAAGAGACAAAGCCAGAATTGCAAAAGTTATAATGTTCACTTGAGGCACTGTCATGTGCTCTCTGTTCCCCAAAACTCATTGGCCGCATGCAAAGACGCGTTAGAGCCAACATCGCACTGTGAAATCTCCGCGCTGGCATGCACAGCATACTGCGTCGCATGCATCAATCGCCACCACGTCACACTGCTAAGTTGGGTTTTCACTGACCCCCAACAGCGAAGCGTAGCTCTAATTCAGAAATAAGTGAATTTCGGATCTCGCAAGGCTAATGACAGTCTATCATAGCGCAAGTGGCCGAGCCGCCGTTCGGGAGGGTGGGAAGGCCGACTCCGTCAGACAGCGGGAGTTTTCAGGCCCCGTCAACGTCTTATTTCAAATTATCGGCAAAAGCAGAATGAAATGACCAATTATAAGGAAAGCCGTATACCGGGAGGTTTGAATTGGTGAGCTGACGTTTTAGATGACCTGTCAACCATGGTCGCAGACGAGGGCATTAAGAGACGTCGACGAGGTTCCAAAGAGGAGCACATCCGCAGACGGTATGCGTGATCTAGGCAGGAGGCAGTGTTGAACGGAGCTGTTTACCGGACCGCCTAGTCTCTGAAGGTGGGTAGCAAATCTACCTAATCCTTCTTCCCAAACATGATGCCTGAGGTACCAAGACGGTAATATATGGAGCAGGGGATACGGATGCCGACGGAGAACAATACTGTCCTCCCTAGCAGACCAAGACTCGCTCAGCTCATCCTCCAAACACTTCGATAAATCAGCCCGAAAGAAGTTATTCAGGCCTTAATAACAGGTGCTTGAATTGCCACCGTAGCTGTCGCTATCATCGTGGCAGCATGCCGATGAATATAATTTATACAGCAAAGGGTCGGATGTGAAGTAAACAAACCCCAGCCACCTGTAATACAGGACCGGTGGTAATAGGGGTTTTAACACTTGCGACCGGGGAACGTACAGGCGACGAGGCCAAGTAGTTGTATGCAAAAGAAAAGCTATTTGGAATGCGCGGTTGTACTTTGAGTGGTTGAGAAATAGTTGCCCTAACCCCAACCGTGTTGTGTCCATCAGGTGAGGCTATATAACCACATCTTACTCAGCAAAGAACAAGAACCAGCATGGATTGAACTTGCAATATGGACTATATTAAGAATGAGTCATTTCAACGTGCTCCTCAGCCCATTAAAAGACAGCTTCTGACCCTATCAGTCCCGTCTTAGAAGCGGATGAGTGAGGGAGAAGCCCTCTACACTGAATGACTCTATTAGCGACGTGAATAGCGGCTTTATTGCTGACAACTCGGCCAAAGTCGAGCGCTGGCGTGAGCACTTCGAGCACCATCTCAACTGCGATACCCAACTTACTTCGCCCTTGCTCTCCTCTGAAACGGAGTTTCTTCCCTCTCCAACCTATCCAGCGTCGTGCAACCCCCCCCCCCCCTGAAGGAGAGATCGCCGATGCCATACGAAAGCTACGCAACCACAAGGCACCCCAAGAGGACGGTATACCCGCCGAAATCTACAAGTCTTGTGTCGACACCCTGGCGTCCTGGCTCCATGAGGTGATTGAACAAGCGTGGAGAAACGGAGTTGCTCCTGATGACTGGGGCTTAGGCATCCTTGTACTTATCCTCAAGAAGGGGGATAAGACAAGGTGCGAGAACTACTGCGGTATAAGCCTCATTGGCGTTGCTGCGATCTTCGTTATTGTCCTACTCAAGCGATTCCAGGCTATGCATGACTCTAGGACGAGGCCCATTGAAGTCGGATTTCGTGCTGGACGTGGATACGCAGATCAGATATTTACACTGAGGCGCATCCTCGAATTTCACCACAGTTACCAACAACCGACGGCCGTCTGCTTTGTTGCCTTAGCTGCCGCGTTCGATTCCGTCCATCGTGAGTCCCTGTGGCGGATAACGGCGACAGGTGGTGTACCGCCAAAAATCGTCGCCACGATCAAGGCCTATTATCGCTCCACCACCGCGCGAGTCCTGGTCCGCAACAATCTTACCCAACCGTTCGGTATTTGGTCTGGCGCTCGACATGGTTGTCTCCTGTTGCCTATTCTGTTTAACTACGCTATTGGCTGTATTCTCGGGAGGGCCCTACACGAAGGTGACGGTGTTGAGTTTGCACCCGGACACCGACTGACTGATCTCGACTATGTCGATGATATTCCTTATTGGCATCAAGTTTTGGTGATCTGCAGTCTATGGTGTCACGGATTAACGAGGTCGCTAAATCGGTCGGTTTATCCATAAACGCTGGGAAGACTAAAGTGTTTTCAAGCTGCATCCCTGACCAGGAAAGGGCGCCTCTCGGGATTGATGGCTGTCAACTTGAAGAAGTAGACAGTTTTAAATACCTCGCGGCGAGGTTTCTGCCGAATAACCAGAGTAAGGATGACCTTGCCTCCCAAATGGATGCTGCCCAACGGGTTTTCTCAAGCCTTAGAAAATGCCCGTGGATCCGGCGCGACATCTCCATCGCCATTAAGATTCGCGTGTACCGTGCGTCTGTCCGGTCTGCCCTTCTTTATAGTTGTGAATGCTGAGCTGTGCGCTTGAAGGACGAGCGAAACCTGGAGGTATTTGACCAGCACTGCTTGATGACCATCCTTCGAGTGAAGTACACCGACATCGTCTCAAATGAGACAGCCCGCGCTCGCTGCGACAACATCGCAAGGATAACCCAGGCCATCCAAGAAAGATGACTGAGGTGGCTTGGACATGTTCTTCGTCGTCTACCTCAGGAGCTCACTGTTACTGCCCTCGATCCGGCACCGTTACCCTATTGGAGGCGTCGAAGAGGGGGTCAGTTCAAAACCTGGCTCGACACAGTTCGCCAAGACATGGAGGTGGTTCTTGGACCTTCGGTATTCAGTCTCCGTCGTTGGCGAAGAAAATGGGTGGAACTATCCAAATCTGCTGCCGCGGATCGTCACGCGTGGAGAGATACACTTCGGGACATCATCGAGGCCGGCTAGATCTGGCAGGATCGCAGCCGTACCAAGTACAAGTAAGTAAGAGGGAGAAGAGAGTGTTTTACCAGCTGCGCAAGTCTGCTCACTATAAGCTACCGCTACTCGCACACAGTAGATGTCGTCGCTCGCGAAGGCTGAACTGTCATCGGATGGGTGAGAGGCATAAAGATAACCTGGGCGTGTGGAAGACTTTCGCAGCACTGTTCTAACTCTCGGTTCCCATACTCATCTTGATCCAACGGTAAGCACGGATCAGATGACTCCTGATGAGGTAAAACACAAGCTGTCTACCTGTGCTACTTATAGCGGAATAGGACCCCACACTAAATTTACCAACATTTTGGGAAACACTGGCTGCCTACATCCGATTTGGTCCCCCAGGCCGGTTGGTTACGGGGCTCCGCACACCTTCCGCCGACAAAAGTGACTACTCCCACCTGGTCATCGCACACACTCCTCAGATTCACATGCACACACACGCACACAAATAGGCCGGAAGGCGCAAGGAGTTTCACCTTGAAGCTGGCCCCGTCCGATCGAACAACGAGCGAGGAGGTTGGGGAGAGCGTCTTGACCCTGACATACAGGGGCAAGGTAGGGATCTCCACATCCCGTTCACCGGCCAACCCAGCCGTCTGATCTGCCTCTGTGAGCGGGGCGGCCAAACGACCAGTGGGACGGTGAAAAATGCGACCAGTGGCGGCCTCCAGAACCAGGTCGCTGGGGAGGTCAGCACAACTCGAGGAGGTCAGGGGCAGAAAGTCGCCGTTGGCGAGCCGGCTGTCATCGATGGGCCTGCCCAGACCCTGCTCCAAGAGCACAAACTGCAAAAAGAGGAAGCAGCAGGAGATCTGAGGGATGTTGTAGCAAGAGAAACTCACTCATCTGCCTGCGATCAGCCAACTAAAATCCTCAAAACTCTGTCATCAACTAGATATGAGAGTTTGGGAAGGCTGCAAGAATAAACGGCGGGGCGAGCCAGGACAACAAAGAGGTCAAAACTGCGACCACTGATACTGCTGCGCTGTGTGCCAACTGTCCAGGGGCAAATCTTTAAGGTGTAATTATTCACATAATGTACGTAGTCGGCAGTCAATATTGGCTGGCTCCTAGCCAAAGACTTTCTGACTGTATTGAATAGACAACGTCAAATTCCGAAACAAAAGTTTACGTCTTGTAATATTTCAATTTTTAACGAAAACAATTCCTACCTCTGAGATATTTAAAGGTGAAAGACGGGTATAGGTACTTGGACATTACAGGTGGCCCAACGCTAAATGCCAGGGGGTTAGGGCTAAGGTTTCGGCTAGTGTCGGGAACACTGAAATAGGTAACTCCCTGGAATTCAGCGCAAGAGCATCCCGTGACTCGGTGAAGCTCTCGCAGTTTGCCACCTGAAGTACTTGCTTCTAGCTAAAGGCACCCATGGGAATTTTGGCCGGCATCTCTCCCCATACGCTTCCTATCACATTTGAATTTAAAACTACCCGCACACTTCAGAACTTGGGAACGGGTGTTATGACCCCCTCCTGATACTCTGTAATCGTGCTCGACTATTGTCCCAAGCTACTAGCATGGCAGAAAAGCAAAACACAAGCGGCCACGATAAAATGTGTTAAAGCCTGTAAGTCATCCCCATTAAATAAAAAACTGCGTGTATTCATGGCGCCCCGTTCATGCTGGCTGGCACTTTGTCCAATCTGCAGCAAGAAGAAAGGACTATAAACACGGACCAATCAGGTCCTAAGGAGGCACTGTAGCCGCAGCCAATGGCGAGACGCTGTCGAGAGCATGCTGTGATATGCCAGATCTCGCACACTCCAAAACTGGTATGGCGGAAGACAAGATTGGATTGGGCCTGCAAAATATCTTAGGAATGAAAACGTTTCCCTCCTTGCAGTAGTCAAATTGTCGTTTTTAAGTCAGTGTGGAGTGGAGAGATCCTCAGAGCACACCCTATTGGTAGATAGACTTATATTTTTTAACTGACTGAGATCGCATATTGTGTTTATACACTACTCTGGTCGGTTTAAAGTAATATGGAGTGGCAGTATGCACGAAAAATAAGATCCTACCGCTGGACTCGGTGAGGAGGCCGCTTGTGCGGAATCGGAGTTTGCAGCGTGCCTGACACCCTCGCTGTTAAGGATTGCCGCTGATTGTGTGGTTTCTGCCACGCCTTCAGCCTCACGCGTTCTCCCAGCGACCTCGGAAACCGAAGGTCCGTCCCCGCCGTCCCTAACCGGCGTTGGCCGTGGACAAACGGCATACCGACCAATGGGGAGGGCTAGTGCGGCAGCCTGTTCCGGGTCCTCCACCTGAAAAGTTCATTGGTACGTCCTCGTGAGGAGGAGAGGAGCAAGTCGGACCAGCGTACCACGAAACGTCATAATGTCACCCGACCGACATCGTCTTAGCATTCCGTTCGAACAGTTTATTAATGTTATGATACTACTGCATGTATTTCAGTAACGTTTGTTTTTTATCATTGTCCCAGATCCGGTGAACGTGAGTGTTGGCATTCAATTCGACTCCCCTAGATATTGAGATCCCACCAATTATACATAGACAGACTACTGTACAGCACATTAAGTAACGTTAATGTCTTTAACACTTGGAACAATTCGTTTATCTGTCTGGTTTCGAAAACTTTGCCAATCTGAAAAAACCTTCTGCAGCTGTTTGATGTTTCCATTTTCAAATTGTTGATATAATTCGCCTCCTTGTAACAAATAGGGAGTTCAAAGGATCAACACCTATGTTTCCCTCAAATAAACTGAAATGATGCGACAGGGTCAGCAAAATATGACTATAGGAGACAGCACCTCAAGAAAGCAGTCGTCAGAAGGAGGCCGCGGACCAGTCGAGGTAGACGAAGGAGGGGGGGGATTGAAACCTTTATTGTTGCTGCCGTGCCGCGGAGAACCACAGTTCTGTTGGCTCCTGTGTGTCTGCTGTTCCGGCAAACCGTTCCGAGGCTCAAGAAGTGTTTTGCTGTTGCTGATACTGCGGCGCAGGTGAGAGGCTTGGTGACGCGCTGTCGAGGAACTGGCGTCATCGACGACTGCCGCAGAAATGCTTCTGTCTGGTGCATACACAGAGGGCGATTTGTGAGGATCTGTTTTAGCACAAGACCGCATCATTGAGAAAGAATCGAGCGCCTCTTGCGGGTTAAATTATCCCTTGGTTTTACCTCTATTTTGGAAGCGGTTAGACGGAGGACCAGATTACGAGGCGTTCCTTCCGATAAATCCGAACAGAGTTCAGGAGACACGTCATGACGAATTCGACAAAAAGACAATCCGAAGGCTAACAGTCAGTTTTATACGCCCTGGGAAAGACGTAGATTACGCCGTAAACTGCTATTTGACGAGAAGTTTTGGTGGCCCGTCATGAGTTCCAACCGTAATCGTATCAGTCTTCTCCAGTGGCCAACAGGTCGTGGGCTTTGATCTAGGATTAGAGGGAAGCGGAGTTCCAATCCTAAAGATTCGGAACACCAAAATTGTCGATAACAAAGCGATTAACTTTAGGGTCACAGGAAACCATACTAGCAGCACAGGTACAGGTGCTGCTATTATGGCATCTCGTAACCCTAAAATATACTACTAGCTGCTTGTCGGCAGTTAATGAATATTACGCGGTTACCCCGTCGTGGCTGATGGACTTCGGCCCACATATTCACACATCAAACTTCGGTCTGAGTCTATAGACCTTAGTATATACCAATCTACTCAAAATTCGCAGTTAATTTCTGAGGAAATTAGAAGGTAACAAAGCGACTGTCTCTGTACTGACGGGTATCAGTAGAGTGTAGGAGTCGCTCCAGTGGTTAAATATGACCTGACGTCCTTGAGTGCTGCATATTGGTGACCACTACGTGATCCAAACGCGCAACCTTCTGATCTAGTTCGACGGATTTGCGGCTGGTTAGTACATAAACCCCCTCACTTCATTTGATGTCTGGGGGGCGCTTTAGAAGCCGTTTCACTGACCCATTTTCAGATGCCTACCCGTCGGGAATCGCGGCCAACCTTCATGCATGCCCCTGCCCCGTGGACTTGATCGGAGGCGCTCCTTGTCCAGCCGCGCTGAGTCACCCCTGCACCCCCCCCATCTGACCTTGACCTCCTAACCATGCCAGGCTCGCGCAAAGCACACAGACCGCTACCCACACGCTCCCGAACGGAGAGGTCTTGTTCTGACCAACAAGCAAACTGCCAATTTACGGTAACCTGCCCTGTGCACAGAATAAATCAGCCCCCACTGTCCTCCGACTTCTGGCAGTAGATAGGACGAACTTACTGCGTGTGTGTGTGGTTAAAGTTGATGTGATATCCTCGAAGGCAACAATAAGGAGTGAAATGACTTCCATCTACTTTGTGTACTGATCTAACATAAGCGTGAATAAGACGTTCTTTCTGTCAAGGGAGAGCATAGACGAGCTGATACTCATGGTCACTAAGGCTGCAGCTTCAGGCACCAACCAGGTCGTCGCCGAGACGACAGAAAGCCCTGGGAGGATGGGACCTGTCTGCTGTGGAACACATGGTTGTCCACTGGTGACGGATGATGGAAAGGCCCTCATTGAAGGCCAGTCGTGAGATAAGCAGGCTTTCACGGCCTGAAGAATAAGCAGTGGTGGGCCATGCGGCAGTTGGATACTGATCCGAAAAACAGGCCACAAGCAATTGGACACGGCGAATGTCGTCCGCTACCCGACAGGGCTCCATCCAATGGCATTCGTCATAGTGATTGGACCCCAAACCGGCGCGCAGAAAAGATGGACTAGATAGACTGCCCTTAAAATATAGGAAACCACCTCGTTGCCCGGCCGCCCCACAGCCCCGCTCTTAGGAGATCCAGACTTGACCAGGTTTTCGGACAACCGGGAGTTACGGTCCGCGCACTTTGGTTGGACCGGATGAGGGCCAATCATGGAGAGCTGGTTTCCTGCCAAATAACTACTGTGGGCCGTCAGAAGTTGATGTCCAAGTAAGTCACTCGGGCCACACGGGGCTGCGGTTTTATTCGTTTATAGACAGCAAGTGCAAAAAACGGAGGTCTTGTTACTCACAATCGTCAAGGTCGGAAGGACTTGAAGGTCGCAGCTGCGGTGAACTAAGTGAACAGGGTTGGTCTCTAGCTGGACACTCAGGCGTCTCAACTGGTCGCAGGCAGTCAGCAAAGAAGGGCTGAACATTCTTCACAAAGGTCAGGTAATCTTCCACGAGTTCCGGGATTAATGCGGAGGATGGCTCCTCAGTCGAACAGCGCAGCATCAAGAAATCCCAGAGTGAAACGTTTTGCGCAAATTTCGGCCCAATTAAGCGGACGAGCTGGTCAACTGATGCCTGTTCCACTGCCTGAAAATCAAAAAGATTTTTTTAAAAAACGATTGGGAAGGGCGTCTTAGAAGAAAGAAACCGGAACGGGGTCAAAAGACAGGCCTGTGTCTCTCAGCTTGGCGTTCGTGTCAAGCCAAGGCGAGATGGTTTGACCGGGGCGGTGGTTCAGCGTCGTCCTCGCCTTCTACGTGTCACAAAACCGCAGTCGGCTTAG